GTTATCTCAGATTCTCCAGCATCTGCAGTTCCTACTATCTCTGACCCCTGGGTCTGGTCTCCCCACACTATCAGGAACATCATTACTGCATTTAACCTGTCTAGTCCTGTTAGAATGTTATAGGTTTCTCCCTAACTGCCTTGAGCTTAATCTCACTAGACCATTTCAAAGGACAGTTAAGGTTTAACCACGTTGCTGTGGCTCTGGAGTCACATGTAGACCAGACTGGGCAAGGATAGTTTCCTTCCCTAGCAGTGAACCAGATCAGTTTTTCTCTGCAAATGACGAGTTTTTTTTTAAATTCCGGATTTTAATAATTGAATTTAAACTCCATCAGCCACCATGGTGCGATTTGAACACATGGCCTCAAAGCATTAGCCTGTGGGCCTAGATTATTAGTCCAGCGACGTTAATTAGCACGTACTGAACAGCAGCTTCCTCATGGTGCCCGTTCTAACATATGATGGGAGGTTGTCCAAAAAAAGCCAAAGAAAACACTTGCCCAACAGCTCGCTAACTTCAACTCTTGAGTGTCCATTGCCTCTGGAACTTGAGCACACAAGGTTTAATGGATTTAAGATTTTTGTATGTTGCATCACAGTATTCAACTGAACAACAGCTCTGTCAAAATACCTCAGAGACACTGAAGATCCAGGAAGCAATCCATCATTTTAACTGTGTTGTCACAATCTTCACCAATAAAAACTAAACTGGAAAGTTAGAAATGAATTCTGTGATAATGGGTCATAAGGTTAATAAGAGCAGCACAGACTGCACCTGGCAGGACTGTACTTTCATTTAGTAACATCTCAACATAACCAGAAAGTGCAGCAAAGTTACTGTTTAAAAAAGCACAACATAATAGGCTGGAGAAGGATTTTAAATTGAATTTTCTTTTTAAAGAACCCTGCATTTAAACAGCACCTTTTCTGGGTGCCAGGTCATCCCTGTGTCCTGTAAAGTTAATGGTGTATTTTTAAAGTCTAGTCACTACTACAATGTTAAAATCACAGCAGCCTGTCTTGCACACAGCAAGATCTCACTTACAGCGCTGCAGCAGTGCCAAGTAGAGTGTTTTAATGATGCTGTTTCCAACTCTGTTACGAGGTCAAGCTAATGGGACTGACTGCCTCCTGTTATACTAATTGCAGAGTGAGGAAAGGAAATGCATTTGGAAAGGCACAACAGATTTGCCAAATAGCACTACATTTCCATTTTCCCCACTCACTCATCAAACTGCTAGTAATTTCGTTTGAAATTGACAATCAAGCTCACTGTTACAATCTTTCTGTGTCAGGGTGAGAATTATTTTACTGTGGCCCAGGTTTGCACCATGACTGAGAGTTTTCATGCCATGGCAGAAGTGACAGAAAATTGTAAATCCCAGCCCCAAAATAATGAGGGGTAAAGATATAGTTAATGGTAGTTGTCTTTTACCTAGGATGAGGTATTGTAAGACTAGTGGGCACATTTTTAAGGTGAGAGGAGAGAGATTTAAAAAAGACATGAGGAGCAAATTTTTTACACAGAGGTTGGTTTGCATGTGGAATGAATTTCTAGGGGAAGTGGTGGATGTGGGTACAATTACAATGTTTAAAAGACATTTGGATAAGTACATGAATAGGCTAGGATTGGAGGGGTATGGGCCAGGAGCAGGCAGGTGGGACTAGTTTAGTTTGGGATTATGTTCAGCATGGACGGGTTGGACCGAAGGATCTGTTTCCATGCCGTATGACTCTAAAACACAGCTTGTCCCATTTTTGCGGGAGTGAGAATGGGGTTGCGGGGAGGGGGAGTGGTGGTGGGGAGTGGTGATGTGGTGTTTCACATATGTGTGTCTTATGGAGGCAGACGGCCATTTCAATCATCTGGTACCTCTGGTGAAGTGGAACTTTGGTTGTCCTCCAATGTGAAAGCCGAGGTATTAGTCCTGGGGAGAACAGGCCTGAACTTTGTGGATTTGTTTGGATAGACAGACTGCTCCATTGGAGAGTTAAGTTTCCACATCGGAATACTGCGGTAACACACCTCCTGACTCCCCAAAGTCTGTCCAGTTTGGGCCTTGTGCTGTCTGTGGGGATGAGGGACTCTGAGGCACTGAGGGTGGAGAGTTGTGAGGATTTTTTTTTTTATTTTTACTAAATGTCAACAGAGTGATGGTACACTGGGTCAGGATTTTCACTTTTGCACAGGGCAGCCCTTCTCTCTTTTCTGGTGTTGCCCAAAAGTTTTCGAAGGAAGCGTGCCACCACAGAACTAAAATCCAGCCTCCTGGGCCACATTCTCCCGCTCCTGCAATTCTTTCGGATCTGCACTCACGGGAGCCATGAGCGAACATCAAGGCTTGTGTACCTGACAGAATTATAGCACACGTGTGAATCTTGGCTGTGGACACTGCGGGGCCTCAATGGCAACACGTTTCATTACCCTAACACAAAGAACTGTGGATGCTGGATATCTGAAACAAAATCAGGAAGTGCTGGAGAGGCTCAACGGGTCTGGCAGCATCTGTGGAGAGAGAAACAGAATCCTGAAGAAGCGTCACTCGACTAAGAGATTAACTCTATTTCTCTCTTCACAGATGCCGTGAGGCCTGCTGAGCCTCTCCAGTCATTTCTGTTTTTGTGTCATACTTCATTCATTCTTTGCGCATTGAAACATAAAATATTGGAGTAGGAGTAGGCCATTCAGCCCTTCGAGCTAGCTCCACCAATCAAGATGATCATGGCTGATCATCCAGCTCAGTGCCCTGCTCTTGCTTCTCCCCACATGCCCTTTGATCATTTTAGACCTATCTAACTCCTTCTTAAAAGGAGTGACTTTTCAAAGGTCAATGACTTACACTGACTGCAAGCTTGGCAGTTCCCGGTTTTCAAATAATAAATGTTGTATTTAGTTCCTCCCAATCACTGTATCTGATTCTCAATGTTCTGAGATCTCTCAGCTACATCTCTGATTCTAACTGAACTGGCACCCTTTCAGCCTGCTTCTGAGATCTGGGATTCCCTTTTATGAACACCTCAATGTCTCGGCTTCCCTAATCTTCCCTTCTACTCATTCACAAAAAACTTCTGTCTTTGATCAGAATTTGACTATGCACTCCCATATCTCTTTGGATAAGTATAAACCTCTGTTTGAACATGCTTTTGAGAAGTACGCTCGGATATACTTCAAGTTCGATAAGGCGCTACAGAAATGCAACAAAGGCAAAATACTGTGGGTGCTGGAAATCTGAAACAAGCACAGAGAATGCTGGAGAAACTAAGCAGCTCTGGCAGTATCTTGGAGAGAGAAACAGAGTTAACGTCTTGAGTCTGGTCAGAGTTTAGAAGGATGGTCAAACCTGACTTGAAACGTTAATGCTGTTCCTGTCACCACTGAAGCTGCCAGATCTACCGAATCTCTTTAGCATTTTCTACATGGATGCAATTTGCTGTTGTTGTTACATCTCACCAACATGCCTCAAAGTTAAGACAAAATTCTGAACAAGAAATGAAATCACAAACATGCGCATTTTTTGATTTGAAATTAAAATGAAACAATCCTCAAAGGTACAGCACGCACTGGAGGTCTCTCACTTACTTTCCGAATCCCTCTTCCTAAATCTTCTCCGTAGTTCGTCCCCAGAATTTCAAACTGCACATTTGGATTTCCACCATGTTCTTTAAATTTCAGGAACCCAGTCATCCCATTCACTTCACCCTGAAGAAAAGGTCAAGATTTGTATATTGATTCATCATTTCATAATAGTACAAAAAGAAAACATGAAATCCTGCACTAACAATACATTATGACTTGGAATGGAATAAAAGGTAAAGTTGCAATAATCTTATTGGACCATAGACCTCTCATCAGAGGGAGATGACTGGCTGTGGTTTAACCTGAGGGTCACCACTCTTCTGACAAGGGAAGATGTTGAGAAGGAGAGTCCTTCATGGTAACCTCAGCAGGAAGTAAACCCAGGCAGTTTGTGCGCTTCTGCATCACAAAGCAGATACAATAGGGGTGTTTAAGGGGTTTTAAGACAAGCACATGAGTAAGCAAGGAATGGAGAGATATGGACCATGGTCAGGCAGAAGGAATTAGGTTAACTTGGCAACATGTTCAGCACACTATCATGGGCTGAAGGGTCTGTTCCTGTGTTGTATTGTTCTATGTTTTAGGTTCTAAACCAACCATCCAGCCAACTGCGCTAACTAGCAATGGCAGATGATGAAACTTTTATTCAATAGCAATCTGGAACAGAGAACTGGCCTCATGGTGACTATGTGACCACTGTTATCAACTGTCTTTGCCTGGCCTGGCCTACATGTGACTCCAGGCCCACAGAAATATGGTTGAGTCTTGACTGCTGTTGGGCAGTTAGGGATGGGCAATAAATGCTGACCCAGCCAGCAATGCCCACATCCTGTAAATGAACAGAAATAAAGCTCTTTCTATTGAAAGTCATAAAAATGGCAATGATGAGGTTTTGTTTGTGCAGCATCTGATAATACCTTCTTGATAGTCTCTAACATGGAGTGTCCACCTTGCCAAGGCTTGGAGTTCTTCCTGATGCATGTCAAGCTGGCCATACTGTGCCATTTCCGATCCTCCAACTTCTTGTGAAATGCATTTGCCAGAAGTACCACGGTGTCATAGATGTAGAGGTTGGTGATCTGCAAATGTTCCAAGCCTCAATATTAACATTTTGCAAATCAAGGCAAAAAAACACATGACCTAGTCAAGCAACTGCATAGGGACAAGTCGAGGCAATGATCTCAGGCAATCAGTATCAGTGGAGGAGTATTCAAAGATAATTTGTGTTATGTGTCAAATCAATAGTACTGAGAGGGACAATCTGTAAATGAATATGGAAAACAATGAAATGAAAAGAGGTACATACTAAACCATACAGAGCAAAGAATCCAAAAATTTGGATAGATTCAGCACTAATTGCCGCATAACTCACAGGTAACACAATTGCAAATGGATTACCACGGGTCATAATATATAAATCCATCTGAACCCAAACTCAACTCTTTTCAAGCCAAATAACAAGGCTAGGTCTGTTGAGAAGGCTGGCTCTTAAAAACCATGGGGTCACTGATCATTTCAACAGGGTCAGAAATGTAAGAGAAGAGTACACCCATTTCTTGTTCTAAACTCTGGTTTAATAAGACTGCTGAGGACTCCAATATCCTTTTGAATAATGTAGAAGCATTGACAGGTTGAATTAGGATGCTATTTGAATCCTGCTTCCTTGCTAATATGAAGCTGTTTCAATCTTCAGTTATTAGTGGAGACAATGCAGACCAGATGTCGAATTAGCTGACCAATTCATCAAGCTGGCTTGGATTATCATTACTGTACTTATAATGCCAATTTACAGCAGGAAGTAGAGAATTACTTGTCCATCTTATAATTGAAACATTGGCAGTACACAGCCACTTTCAAAGAATAACTATTACGGGATAGAATATGTGAATAATTTGAGGCACAAAGGCTGGAAAGTGTAGCATGCCTGGGATTCTGGAATTATGGTTCTACTACTGATTTCCTTCACATCTGTCTGAGTCTTGTGGACTCATTCATTGACATTGATTTTTTTGGCAAGTCAACAACTCCAGTTTTGTTTTATCAGGGACTGCTTGGATAGCAGAAGAACAACTAGTTGGGTCATCATATCAAGATTTCCTGAGTTTCTAGGGCAGGTCTTTATTTTCTATCCTTGAAGCAAGATGGGTTAACGATATTGCAATCTTATAATGCTGGACAATGACATATTTTGTGGTAATAGATACCTTGGTGGTCACAAGTGTGCTTGTGTAAAATGATTACCAACAGCAACAAACAGCTCACTTGTAATAGAGTAAAACGTCTGCCTGACAGAACAGTCACGAGGCAATAATTAAAGAGAGATAAGAAAGGAGACATTAGGGCAGGTCACTTGTCATAGAGATAGCCTTTCAGTAGCACCTTAAGGGGCAGAGGGAAGCGCAGAATTGATCCGGTTTTGGGGAGAGATTTTCAAGGTGTAAGTCCCTGATGGCTGAAGATCCAATTCTTTAATGGGGAGGCGAAGGACCAGACGATATACCAAGGAAATCAGAGTTGGAGGAAAACAACGCTTTTAGAGGGTTGGAAAACATCAAGATACAGAAAGGACGTTTGAGCATGAGGATGGAAATGATAGAATCTAGGCATTGACGAACCGGGAACAAACGTAGTTTGATTAATGGAGGAGAGTCAGGTAAAAGAGACTTGGTACACATTAACTTAAGGAGATAAGCAATTTGGATAGGTTAGATTTTATGAAGGGTGAAAAAGGAGAAAAGTAATGTTGGGAGAGCATTGTTATAACTGAGTCTGGAAATCACCAGACCATGAATATGGCATGAATGTGCCAGAGGCATTATTATGTGATAATGAAATTGGGTACATTTTTGGCCTCATCCTCAGAGTTATCATGGCAATTGTGGGAGCCTACAGAATTTACACACCATGGGCACCAAAATAATTATCCTAATTTGTCTTAGAGGTTGCTCAATGTGGATCACAAATGAAATTGTGTTTCTATAAATCATGCATTTTAAAATTTGAATTGACCTCACCTGTCTGAGCAACCAAACTAACTGCACACCCTGATGTGAATGAACAGGAGGAGGTAGTTCACTCTACTGTAACAATCTATCCTTTCCTTCATTTAACATTGGCAGGTAGATGTCTTACCAAGTGAATACCGTCAGTTTGAATATTCACTGGAGACTCAAATAGCTACCATCATTCCTTTAGGCTGAAGATTAATTGGAATTACTGCAGCTCATAAAGTATCTGGATCTGTGGCATCTAATTAACTATCCTGCTGTTTAAACACCCTTTGAAAATAAAGTGTATGTTATATTCTTTTTTTCCCGTGATGGAGGTAACTGATATCACAGTCTCTAATTAGAATCACATCATTTATTACAGTTTTTACAGCTCGATAGTAAATAGTGTGATTCTAATTAAATTTCATTTCCGTGATCTTTTAATAGCATTCTTGTTAATTTGCCAGACAACCTGTAGCAGGTCCATTTTTTCAAAATGGTAGGATATTTTGTAATGGAAAATATTTTGTTTGGAAAGCAGGTGTTTATCAGTTTATCTGTTTATCAGTTACATGAAGCAATGACATTACAGCATTTCAAAAATAACTGTTCTTATAAATTAAATTCAATACCAAAACAATTGCCTGTCTTTTGAAACTGGAGGTTAATCAGGTAAATTGGGGAAAAGAATGGGCCAAAATGCAACTTGTGTTACAAGGGAATCAGTGACAAATTGTAAGGCTCATGCCTCAAGATATTTCCAAACCATTTGAATTCATGGAGGCAGCAATTTTTAAAATTGTTTTTATTGCAAAAATATACCAAGGAAATAGTTAATTTCTAGAAATACTGATACTTTAAGCTGAAAATCATATGTTCCATGTTAAAATTTGACAGCTCTCTGGTTGGGAATCTCAAATGACTGAAAGGTTATGGGCTTTGGGGCAGCAATAACCGAACCCATGACCACTTCCATCTAGAAGGACAAGGCCAGAAGTTGCATGGGGGCACACCATCTGCAAGTTCCTCTCCAAGGCGCTCTCCACCCTGACTTGGAAATATGTCACCATTCCATCAGTATCACCGGGTCAAAATCCTGGAACTCCGTCCCTAACAGCACTGTGCGTCTACCTACAGCAAATAGACTGTGGTGGCGCAAACAGGTAGCTCACCACTCATTGGGTAATAAATACTGGCCCAGCCAGCGATGCCACTTCCAATGATTGAAGAAACAACAAGTCAAATCGATTCATTTATCTCTCCATTGCTATCAGTCCAACATTCCTTTCTGCGTTTTCTTGATGTGTTTAGCTCTGGAGTGGTTTACTGATACTTTCTGGTGCGTCATTATCCATTCCATGTTTCTCTTTGCCACGCTAAAGGTGTATCTTATTGTTATTAATATGCCATCCTCCTCCAGCCCCAACAGATCTCAGCACTTTCCTAGTTTCAGCCTCAATTTGCATTACTCCACCAGCTCTCTACCTCTTACCTTTCCTTTAGATGCCACAACACCTACGCCTTTGATCCTACTTTTGGTTTCCAGTCTTAATATCTCCCTGTGTGGTCGATGCCAGATCTTGCTTGGGGTGTGTTGCTATTTTAGAAGCAGGTTGTTGTTTTACAGTTTAAGTAACAGATTTTTGGAAACCGAAAAGGATTCAAGGTTGTTTTAGAAGTGGAGAGAATAGTTTCCATGTGACATCTTTAAACTTTTAAGTTTCATACATTTAATGTGGGATTTTACTTGTTCATTCATTTTGAATTACGAAAGCCAATCAACATGTGCCAGCTATGCAGTCCACACTCTCAAAAGGTTGCCATTTGACAACTTAGTCACACATTATAGCTCAATATAACCATTATAATTCTTCCATGGGATAAAATAATAGGAATGATCTCAGAGTAAATGTGCTTTGAGTGGAAAGTCTCACTCACAGGAGCACATTTGTGGAAATCGCAGGTGCGATACCAATTTCTCTTTACAAACTTGGGAAATAATAATTTAATAGAGATTTCCTGTTGCTTACTTCTGGACGGTGAGAATCCCACCTGGGAGAGTAAAACTAATTAGTCTACCTTCCCTTACAATCTGTCATTCTATACTTAATTATAAACCAATCTGATGATAGACATTTATGTGTATGTATCTAATTATTTATGATTCTTCTAGGCTGTCAATGTATCTGGACATACACACATTTTTAAAGAAACAAAAACAGAAATTGCTGGAGAAACTCAGCAGGTCTGTTAGCATCTGTGGAGAGAAAGCAGAACTAACATTTTGAGTCCAGTGACCCTTGCTCAGAACTGATAGCAGCTGGGGAGAGGTGGTTTTTATACAGATGATGGGATGGGAAGAAGGGAGGTGAGTGGCTAGGTGGAGATGGACCTTACAGAGACAGAGAGAGAGAAAGGGTAGGCCGACAAAGGAATTGTTGATACCAGGCCATGGAAGGAGAGAAGCTAGCTCGGCGATAACGAGGGCTATGTGTGCTTGAAAAGGTACTGAAAGCAATCCATTTCATGACAAGACCTGGGACACGGGGGTGAGTACGAGACACAGAAGGGAGTGTTCATGCTCTTAAAATTGTTAAACTCAACGTTGAGTCCTGAAGGTGGTAAGGTCCCGAAGCAGAAGGTGAGGTGTTGATCCTCCAGTTTCCTTTGAGCCTCCCTGGAACATTGCAGCAGGCCTGAGACAGAAATGTTGGCGTGGGCACAAAACAGTGTGTTGAAGTGGCAGGCAACTGCATTTGTAAATGTGTGTGATTGTGTGTATTGTTATGTGTGAGGTTGTGTTTGTGCGGGCATGATGCGGACGCACACGTACTCAACATTTCAGAGAACAAAACAGCACAGCAGCAATGAGAACATCACATGTAGTAAAGGAATATCTTAGCACCAGGACGTTTAATTTTAAAATGTATGATGTCTGATGATTCGAAATAGTCCTACCTCCATGTTATTCTTGTAAGGGTCCTTGGGATCGCACAGTGACGGAGAGATTCTGTGCTTCCCACGAATACAGCTGTGAGTGGTGTTTAAGGACAAGGGAAAAGTCTGCCGAATGATTGTCAACCTTCCAATTGACCGCCTCACCAACTCTTGGACATCGCCATCATTTAACTCCTGGGAAATTGCAGAAATACCTTTGTTAAAAAGTGTGTAGTTCAAACCATTATTTTCCTCACTTTTTTGCATCATAAAAATCACACCCCTCCATCATTATTGTACTGAACGACCATCCGGGAGTTAGTTAATGGAAGTGTAGACCATTCAGCAGGTTTAACACAAAAAGGGTAGATAAAGTAACCATAGATTATAATGTAGCAAAGGTTCGATCCCATGCAGCAATATCGCATCGTTTCTGTTCAGTAATTATACTTACAGCTTGTAAGCTAGCATCTGAATGAAGCTTTGGCTTGATAGAAACCTTTAGCCCACACTCTGGGGAGCAGAGTTAACATTTCATTTGATCCCTACAGCACTTAAGCTGGAAGTACTTAAGGCTGACGTTGACTGCTGAACAGAAAACATTTCACTCTCCAACACATCCTTCAGGGATTGACAGTGCAGATACTCGGCAAGCAACAAATACAAAAGCAAACGAAAACATCCACAGCGGAATTGTCATTATATTTCATTTCTCAAGCAAAACTCATTTTCAATTATTCCAACAAAACAGAGTGGAGGGATTAAGAAAAAGGGATAAAACACAGACAGACATCGCCATTCTTTTTATGGAAGAGCTGTCATCTTCTCATCAAACTGGCACCAATGTGCCTGTGGAAAATTAAATCTAATGAGCTCCAAACTGTAAAATGACGCACTGCCATTGTTTCCAGTCAATTAGGAACGAGCTGTACATTTGATTTTGTGGTTTACAAGCAATTGCTCCTTCTCCCCACCCTCCCAGTTCAAACTGATAGCTTGACTTCTATTCAAACGACTGTTTCCCTATTTCCCCCCTTACCTGGTATAATGAACTTGATTACGAGGAAGTAAAAGTGGCGTCAGAGAGCCGGAGAAAGTGGTGCAAGGTATGTTGAATAAATAGATTCTGCTGAGGGAGGAATAGGATGGTGCAACTGGTTATCAGCCGACCTCACCTCTGTGTTGGTGGATTTTTATCAATGCAGTTTTAACTTGATGGCATTTAGCCACAGCCAGATTATTGAAGAAGGGAATCCAGGCTGAGATTAATGAAATAATTCATAATCTCCAAATATTACCATTGCTTACCAATTGCAAAAATAGTAAAATCTATAAGTAAGGACTTGGGGTGGAATTGATGTTGAATGATACAGAAAGACAGGCACATATGTTGAATGAGATGCCCACAGAGCTTGATAGACTTCAAATGAGCAAAAGAAAGGAGGCAGAATGTGTATTGAGCTGCTAACTTGCTATTGCCAGTGGAGTGTTACAGTCCAAGATCACTCCTATTTATTTCAGAGACAGTAGGAACTGCAGATGCTGGAGAATCTGAGATAACAAGGTGTAGAGCTGGATGAACACCAAGCAGCATCAGAGGAGCAGGAAGGCTGGCATTTCGGGCCTAGACCCTTAATCAGAAATGGGGGAGGGGAAGGGGGTTCTGAAATAAACAGGGAGAGAGGGGGAGGTGGATAGAAGATGGATAGAGGAGAAGCTAGGTGGAGAGGAGACAGACCGGTCAAAGAGGCGGGGTTGGAGCCAGTAAAGGTGAGTGTAGGTGGGAAGGTAGGGAGGAGATAGGTCAGTCCAGGGAGGACGGACAGGTCAAGGGAGCGGGATGAGGTTAGTAGGTAGGAGATGGGGGTGGGGCTTGAGGTGGGATGAGGGGATAGGTGGGAGGAAGGACAGGTTAGCGAGGCGGGGACGAGCTGGACTGGTTTTGGGATGCTGTAGGAGGAGGGGAGATTTTGAAGCTTGTGAAGTCCACATTGATACCATTGGGCTGCAGGGTTCCCAAGCGGAATATGAGTTGCTGTTCCTGCAACCTTCGGGTAGCATCGTTGTGGCACTGCAGGAGGCCCAGGATGGACATGTCATCTGCGGAATGGGAGGGGTATTTGAAATGGTTCGCGACTGGGAGGTGCAGTTGTTTATTGCGAACCGA